CCGGTCGTGATAAAATGTCATTGCTTAACGGCGTGAGAAGGGGTTTTTGGCCATCGTTGGATTCTCTAACCTCAGGTACTCGGAATGGTAAGGCGGGTGGTGTCGGAGTAGGTCGCTGTACAGCATCAAGCAAGGGAAGATAGCTCGGTGTAAACAGACCGTGGAACTCGCGCTCTCTCTCGTGCGGGCTCCGAGCACCGTCTTCTATGGGAGTCCCTGGGCTCTGAGGGGAAGCCGGCGGCGGCGATAACAGTTTAGGTGACCATAAGTTTTCATCCAGACTAATAGTATGAGTGTCGAATTGCGACTGCGGACCAACATCGTGATCAAGAGCCGGACTCAAGGCCGGATAGTTTTGGAATTGCTCAGCAACCAACTTTTCGACTCTAGCAGACACATGTTCCGGCATGTCTTGTAGCCGCTGATGCGAATACCGTCGGAATTCTTGTGCCATGTCTTGGCGATATTCATTGACCTTGCTATCAAGCTCGGCGAGCTTTTGGAGAAGATCCGATACGAGGTTCGTGGTGTCATCCATTATGCCGACTGCGCCGCACACCACAAAATGATTAATCGAAAACAGTCCAAGTACAAAGAATAAGCATTGTCGGTACCGAGGAATATAGAAGAACTTTTTGAATACGGGAGGATCGTAGACTGATGCGACGTGCTTCGGTTTTTCCTCGGTCTTTTCCGTTGGCGCGGAGATATTCTTCGTTCCGCGATTCTCTGTAGCAACAAATTGAACTATCCTCGTGGTATTACCAGTTGTGAAATTGCAAATATTGAGTTGCTGATAGGTATATACACAAGTCCCAAATCTAGTAACTGGGAAAGCCCCTCGGTTAATACAAAGATTGTCGGCTAGTTATTGTTGTTTTTGCTTTTTTTTGTTCGAGTTTTTTTTTTATGTAGATAAGCCTCTTTCTGTAGTGGCTTGGAGCCGCACTCTGGAGATGTGACGGTAGTAAAATGATTTGCTAGGAAGAAGCTACCGAAGTGTAGAAAATGGTGTGGAGAAATGGTAGGTGTGGGAGCCAAAGGCCATGGGAGAATTGGTAGGATTGGTCTCCGACAACTTGGAAAGGCCTGGTCAATCGTCCTTGCTGAAATGGCGAGACTGCCAATTTGGTTTATCGGAATTCCAGGCCTGGAAGATTCTGTGCATACCTGCGGGCAATTAGGTACATAAGGTAGGTAATACAAAGGTACAGTCAGAATATTTAAGATAACATAATGTTATGTATGATAACATCATTTATAATAACATCGTTTTATGTCTGCCGAGAAATGTACATGGTGTACTTATCAAGGTACGGGTACCTATGTGTTTTAACGGTATCGACTTAGGATCAGTCTATAGGTACACATAGATTACCTAGGTAGGTACCTAGGTATACACACATATCAATGGCTGACATCTACGTAGAAAAGGATTGAACGATAAATAAGTAAATATGTTGAGTCAACAACATATACCTAGTTGTGCAGCGTTGCAAGCCCTGGACGGCTTCCCTCATTAAGGTAGGTACTGTTAGGTACACGCGCATTCCACTTCTCGAATTATCAAAACCCCTAGTCATCACATGCAGCTTCCGGCTCCCGGATTAGGTACAGAGTACAGATAGGCACCAATCAACTAATAGCAATGACTTCAGCATTTGACCGATCTTAAGATCGACCTTATTGATAAGATGTTCTCCAGACTTTCTCGATACGATATTATGTCTCCATTAATATATCTGTATCATGTATCACAGATATTTTTGGTACATATATTTCGACACAGTCTAGATCCATCGTCTCGCAATCCAGTCCCATTTATAAGAGAGACATATATGAGATTCCATCTAGTCGTGTCTATATCCTTATCCAACCGGATAGCGCGAAGGATTTAAGGATGTCTGTTATGAGTGTGAATTCTGTTATAATAGCTGGCGATGCCGTAATTCGACTATAAAGTAACATCTCCCCGGGATGGGCAAAACATAACCAATGAGAAACGACACCGGGAGGCCAATGAAAGGATAAAATGCAAGCCACGATATTCTATACTCCTGCATAATGACCATCCAGGTTTAGGCAAAGTTGACCTGCCAGCGTATCAACCGTACCAAGACTCTCCACGATGCATACCGAGTTAGGGATGACTTAAACAGCCTACTGCTCATAATATATGTCCTCAAGTGATTTGATACCTTCACCACCTAACATCCAACTCATTCGCTCACCACTTATAAGTTACTTATTCCAGACTAGTCTTAAACCTCTTAACCTCACCGCCAACTCCGTCATCGCCACGTTCTAACACGTCATAAGTCCTTAGTAGTTCGATTGATAACCCGTTGATTTTGAGGAACACGCGACTAAACGTCCCGGATGCTTATACGGGATAGTCGGTGGAGAGACTATGCGCGAAGGTCCTCTCACCGAATTGCAACTCCGTGCTTTATCGGGCTGGGATCCGAATCTTCGGGTGGGCACACTTCACGTGTAAATAACCTGAGAGTCCCTGGGAGGACCACTCCAGTCTGCGGATACATCTCCGTCTTCTCTAAATGAATACGCATGAACTTTGATGTGCATTCAAATATTCTAAAGATAGGACGAATAAGTATTGGCTTAATGCCATATTATAAACGGATCTAATAGCCATAACGGTAACAACATGGTACGAACTTTTCAATGTCCATAAATAAATCAGCCAATCCAATGTTATTCCTCTTCATTCAAGACACAAAAGTGTAACGATCGACAAGAGTTATAATTGCCTAGATTGAATGTCTTGCTTACGCCTTGCACATACGTTCTTGATATACCTATAAAACACACATTTTCTTTCAGAAAACCATCTGACTATATAATCGTAGGTAAGTTAATCTCAACGCCTTGTAGTAGAAGCCATTCCATAGGTACTCTATCAGAATTGCTGATGGGATAGTCACTCCAAAGGACCGCAGTATCTACGAATATTGTTGAAGCTACTGTTACGCCGCCGCCGTCATTCACCATATCACTGTAATTAGGTATCTATGCTAAGTAAACACGCAGGTAGCCACGTAGGTAGCAATAAATTTATTCGCAAAGTAACATATGGTAATAATCCAGGGCAATAAGTGATACAATGAATGCAAGAGCGACATCTTGCAGTCTGAATACAAGCCACCTATACTATCGGATCTCATTATTTTGTAAGTTGATCGTCTGTCATGCGTTCATTTATCTAAATAAGCACCATGAACTAAACGACACGAAGGTGCTCATTATCTCTTTATAGCACGAGAGCTTCTCATGTAGTTGGAAGCTAGATCGGCTACACTTATTGCCAAATGACATCGGTTGTGGAAGATAAGGGCTTTGTTTAGTACTCTAGAAGGCAAACACCTGGTCTTCTAGTTTGCTGACGGGGCGGGCCTTCTGGAAACCGAGGCTTTCCGTTGCCTTCTTCAGGCCGCCAATCATGGGTGGCGGACCGCAGAGCAGTATCTTGACGTCGGGAGCAGCCTTCGGGAGCCATTTCTAATTGCTTATTAGCTTTTGGCCTGGAGTTTATTTAGTATGAGGGGAGCTTACAGTGACCATGTCGGCAGTGACGAATCCAACACCGCCGGTCCATCCCTCAGGAGGCTTGTCAAGGACATAGTGGACCCTGAAGCCGGAATCCTCCTTCGCTAAAGCATCGAGGTCTTCCTTCAGTAGGATGTCTTGCTCGGTGACGTTGGCAAAGATCAAGTCCACCTGAGTTCGATCGCCTGTGGGTCGTCCTCGGACAATGGCCCTGACAACTTGGAGCATGGGAGTGATACCAGTACCGCCAGCAACCATTCCGAAATGACGGACCATGTTGGGAGTATAGACGAAAGCACCCTTGGGTCCCCTTACACGAATCGTCTGGCCGACGGCAAGCGATGCCATGTGCCTCGAGATATTACCGGTCGGGTACGACTTGATAAGGAGGTCGAAGTAGCCAGGTTGGTGGTCACCAGAGATGGGAGTGTATGATCGCACAATCTCCTTAGTACTGCCATCAGGCTGCGGGAGGACGGCACCAATTGAAATGTGCTGGCCGATTGGGAGACCAAGGATGGATGTCGGCGCGGGCAAGGAGAACCGGTAGCTATAGAAAGTCAATGGAGGGAACAAGAGCTGCCATGGAAAATGCGACGAACATGGCGACATTGTGAGAGATGATTGTCTTCTCCTTCAATTCGAATTGTTGGAAAACATCTGGCTTCAAGATCACCTTGGGCACTATACAGCATGGTTAGCTCAAAGCCGATAGGAGGGTATTGCACAATAAACAATAAACGTACACGAGCGGTAGTACTTGATCAACCCCAAAACAATTGCAACGAGAGCTGCAGCGGGAGTCCATTCCTTCTTAACAATAAAGGTTCCAAACACCAACAGACCGGCGGGGATATATATCCCGTCGAAATATGCCCTGGAAGACAACGGAAGTGCCGCCATCGTGAATTTCAGTTGGCGCCTTTTGAATTTAGGGTATGAATTGTATCGGCGCTGCGCAATTTAAACGATTCCTTGCCTGCTAGCAACAGAAATAAGCCTGCTCCCGTAAGAGAGGGGGAACGAAGGTAAATTCTGCTGAGCTGCCGCTTATATCGTTGTGTTCGTCGGAGTTGACACACATCGATCTGCCTTTTTTATCTCCTAAAATCGGGGCAAACGCTAATAATAAGTGGCACCACATCCAACATTTGTTGAGTTTACCTCTGCAGAGTCATAACCCCGGCGTTACAAGCGGACTGGACCGGCCGCTCGGTACTAGGTTAGGGTTTTCTGTCAATTATGCAAGCGTCCGTCGGTCATACAAACTCCTATAGCAATATGTCCCCCCACATAATGCACGTAACGGTTATATACAGCTGCATGAATATCGGTAGTACAGTATACGGTGCGACCTGTCAACCCTTGGATGGAGATCTGTGGCTGTGAAATTTTGTATGGGGACATGTGGCAGATGCGATATTGCTTATTTTCAAGCTTCAAATATAAGGGATACCTATTAATACTTACCTAACCTAAGCAATAGGACAATTATCATTCTTTCTCTTACTGCTTTTTAGCTCTCTCGTTTAAACATAAGGGCATCGGTCACTATAACTCTCATTAAATTCTCACTTTTACTAAGTGCAATTGAAATCTATTTATGACTCGTTGTTAGGCTGCCTAAAGATCAAGGCCCAACATGAGTGGCATTCCGATTAAAGTTGATCCTGAAGATGCGCCGTTCCCCTTGACGGACGTTGATAAATGGATCTTATCCTTGACCGACGAGGAGTATCAGTATCATGGTTGGGAAGATGTGAAGAAGATTATAGGTAGGATATAACCAATTATCTAGTTACCTCTTTGGTGGTTAGCTTAAGCTGGTGACTAGAGGAGAATAATCTCTCCGTTCTTAAGCGAAAACCGTCCGATTTGCGACGATACATGAAATGGACTGCCGAGATTAAGATAGAATATGGATCCATGTCGAATTATCTCATGAAGCACCGACTACCAAAAGTCTGGGGGTCTCCCCCCTTCAAACCAGCATCTACTACCCCATTTGAAGACTCATCCGACTATAGAGTCCTGATTAACGACTGGCCCTATGGTATGATGCCAAACATGACCCATATAGTCGTTTGGTCAAGAACGACGATTCCGACGGACCCTGAGACCGGAGACATGACCACTGAAAGCCGCGACACCGTGAAGAATTTCGTGAAAATGTTCTTCGTAGATAAGCTAGGCCCAGCAGGAGATGATAAAGTCTTGTGGTTCAAGAACTGGGTTGCGCTGCAAAGCGTGAGGGCACTAGAACGTATGTACAATCTCGATTATAAGAACTTCATTTGGATTACTACCTATAAATCGGAAATGGCAGGCAAAATCAATATATTGAGTATCGCTGACTTAGATGCTGCAGACATTCATATCATCGTCAGAGATGTTGACAAAGACACACTGGATAAGTGGACCGAGGAACTCGATTGCCATAGGTTGCTGAACTAGGTGATCTGTCACATAAATTCAAGTCTATAGCTTGAAAATATGAAAGGATTCCTAATCATGCAATGCTGGGTGCCGGATGTGTAATCCTAGTTCAAACTGCACGTCTTTGTTTCCTATTGCCTGCCACTGGCGCGGCATTCCCCGGCTGCTGTCCTTGCATGCCGGCCATTCCGCGAGCTGCACCAAGTAGACTGTAGCCTTTGAAGGCCCCGTAAGCTGGTACAACAGTCCAAAGGAGCCACCCCCAGTTACCCAAAAGGATTACGAGCACGACGGATGCCCATGTAACCCAGATAACGTCAAACATATACTCTGTAAGTCCAGGCGAAGACAAGTCCTCGCCAGCCCTCCGAAGCGCCTTTGTCGTGGGATCGTATCTAGGCCGGCCCGATGACTCTAAGAAGTATTCGCATATGAAGCTAGGAATTGAGAGGATGACATATAGTAGTATAGACCGCTTTTTAAATACCAAGTTGAACAAGACAAAAAGCGTATTGACAATAAGAGTGCCGATGTGAAGGTTTGTTAGAGCCGCTGCATTGGCCTTTGCTGTGTCCTTGCGTGCTTTCTGTGCCATTTCGATATCGTGTCTATGAAGAAGGAATTATGAAGCTTTGCTTATGGCGTATACCGTATACATGAGGATATGTCTATCATACCGTATTCAGTACGGCTGAAGAGTGTATGTATTGCGACTTGTCCGGGTGAGTTATGTGTTTGATGTTTAGGACTTAGACTCACATGCTCTTAGTGACAAAATGGTAGATGGGTAAGTTGGGAAAAATGATGTGGCTTTATCAACGAGGCTGGAAATGGAATGGCGGCTCCAGCACCCAGGCAGTCAAAGAGCGGCAGGTGGGGGGGCTGGAGCTGTAGCCTGCAGCTGTTTACGCCTTTTATTTTAGCGCCCTATGGTTGCTCTGGCAGGTACTGTCCGGTTGCGTACAAGGCAATGTAACCAAAATGTAACCAATTAAATCAATCAACCCCCTGACAACGGTTCTATCCACCATAACATCCCAAAATCCCAAGTCCCAAATCCCAAATCGCGAGGGAAAGCTTGGACTGCGACAAGGCGGAAAACGCTACCTGATCGTTTTCTTCATCCCACTACGATACTACGGAATAGAAAATTTAATACCATTGAATGGTATTGCCGGGGTATATTGTTGGGCTAGGAGCTGGGTAGCCTGCCGGACGATATCGTCGTCTCGCCACCTTCTAACATTCGCCGTGTCCCGTTCTCGTGACGGCGTGTTGATGGGAGATTCTAAACGAAGTCTATCTTCACCCTCCCAGTCCCAAATCCACAGTGGTTAGAGATGCCTGTTAAGAATAACCAGGATCAAGTCGACACATACTTCCATTTCTTCACATCCGACCGGTAGTTTCGATTCCTCAGTACCGATTCTTACGCTTCTGGTATTCTGAATTTAATTCATTATTAACACTAATCATTGTCGAGGCTATTGTCTTTGGAAGCACACAACCTAGCTTTTCTCTGGTCGAGTCTTCCTTAGCCTACCCAGGTAGTCTCTACCCCTTGCTTTGACCTGCGATATTTGTCCACACTCGACAACAGAGCTGCACCACCTCCTCGACGCGACCACATGGCAATTTACGAATAGAGTCAGCTATCCGGATACTATCGATCGCACCATCTTTATCCCAAGATGGCGCCCACAAATTCGGCCGTTACGGGCCAGTTGAGGCAGATTGTTTACTACCATCTCGACAATATGTCCTATGAAAGTGCACTATTCTTTGCGGAAAGATTGGCTGCCCACGATCCTCGCTCGAGCGAATCGCCGTATCTCCTTGCACTCTGCCATTTTCGACTTGGTGACTATCACTCAGCTTATGAAATCAGCAAAGCCGTCGGATACCGTGGAAGCAATGTCTCTTGTTCATATATATTTGCACAGTGTTGTCTCGTACTTGAACAATATAAAGATGGGATCACAGCATTGGAGAAGTCTAGAAGTTCATGGCCTCGGAAATCAAGTCTGGGCAAGCACAATGCAACGAATAGGGCGCAATATCCGGACTCGGCGAGTATTGCATGCTTGCTGGGTAGGCTCTACCGGGCCTACGATGACAAAAATAAGGCAATAATCAACTTTGAGGAGGCACTCAAGCTAAACCCGTTTATGTGGGATGCATTCACGGCTTTGTGCGATATGGGCGCCGATGTCAGGACAGCTAATATTTTCAAGCTGAACGACATGTTAATAGATATTTCGAGCACGGCTCAACTGAATGGGATTCTCTCGGAGCAGAAGGATAGCACCGCACCTAATCTAGCGGAAACCCAGCCTAAGAAGGCTGTGCCCCGTTCTGCGGTTTACGATACTATAGGGGATCCTTTTGATTCACAAAGGTCAACAGCTGGGGGTGAGATGCTCCTCGGCAATACCTTTCTCTCCGGCGAGAATGATTTTGTGTCTAAAATCAACGCGGCTCGCTCTAGGATGGCTGCTACTGCCGAAACTGGGTTTGAAAGTGTGGAAACGCCGACAGCAAACCATACGGACTCGAATATTCCTCGAATTAATCATCCGCCAGAGCCCCCCCAAGCTCCTGCTAGAAAAACGAGGAATGCTCAGCCTATCGAGCCCAATCAGATGGATGTACCCTCGAAGATAGGATATCGAATGGGTGCCAAGAGAACTCAAAGACTACAGGATAGGTCTCAAGAAGACTTCCCTCCAGAGCACAATCCTACTCTTCTTAGGCCGACTGGCTCTAGTGCGTCCGGGATAGAGAGAAAAAGGACTGTTTCTGGTCACCTTGTCCAACCAAGGCAACGGCCGGATGAACCAGGTGCCCCCCAAAGACGGAGCGCAAGATTAAACCCATTTGGGGGTGCTAATGCGAAGGCCAACTCTGCGTCAACTGTTGGCCCGACACGAGAATTGAAGAAGGCTAGGCCCCCTATCTCAAGAATCGTACGTCCGAATTCGAGCGGTTCCACCGTTGGCAGAGCTATTAGCGGTAACAGGAAACCGTTGGAAGAAAACGGTATGGATGTAGACCAGGCTGAGGTGCCACGGATAAAAGAAGTGCATTATCCGCCTCCCGTTGCTAAATCCGCAGAACCGGAATCTGTCAAAGCTGAGGAGACGTTAAAATTTCTACTGGAGTTATTGAAGAAATTCGGCTCCGGCTATTTAGCACTATCGCGGTATCGGTGCGCTGAAGCTTTAGCTTTTTACACGGCGCTACCCCGGACGCACCAAGAAACGCCGTGGGTGCTTTCGCAAATTGGAAGGGCATACTACGAGCAGGCTGCATACGCGGAGGCAGAGAAGTTTTATAGGAGATTACGAATACTGGCTCCTACTCGCCTTGAAGACATGGAAGTCTACTCTACCATTTTATGGTTCCTTAAAAGAGAGACGGATCTGTCTTTCCTTGCCCATGAACTTGTCGATTTGTCATGGCATTCCCCCCAGGCTTGGTGTGCGCTTGGAAACGCTTGGTCACTCGCCCGAGACCACGAGCAAGCCTTGAGATGTTTCAAGCGAGCTACCCAACTGAACCCCAAGTTTGCTTATGCATTTACTCTACAGGGCCATGAGCACGTTTCAAACGAGGAGTATGAGAAGGCCCTCACAGCGTATCGTCAAGCAATATCGGCCGACCGTCGGCATTACAACGCGTATTATGGTATCGGTAGGGTCTATGAAAAACTGGGCAACTACGACAAGGCCTATATACATTTCCACTCAGCATCTGTTATAAACCCTACCAATGCCGTCTTAATATGCTGCATCGGCAACGTCCTCGAAAAGCAGCGACAGATTGTGAAGGCTCTCCAATTTTTTACCAAGGCCACCGAACTTGCTCCACACGCCGCACAAACTCGATACAAGAAAGCTAGAGCTCTGTTAGCTCTTAATCAGCTCGATGAAGCCCACAAGGAACTTGACATTCTGAAGACTCTTGCTCCTGACGAGGCCACAGTGCATTTCCTCCTCGGGAAGTTATATAAGACCTTAAATGACAAGGGCGCCGCCGTACGGCATTTCACGATTGCACTGAATTTAGATCCCAAGGTTTGTTTAATCCTTCGATTGCGTAAATCGTATTCTCCAACTAACAGCTATTAGGCAAGCCAACAAATCAAAGAAGCTATCGAGAGCCTTGAAGATGACGACAGCTTTGACGATTCTATGATGGCATGACAATAGGGTACGGTAGAAGCATTTGTGTTTATTAAGCGGGATTTCTTTTATTGCCATGATTACAGCGGCATAGGGAGGTTCGGCTAGATTCGAGTATATCCCAGGGCAATGCGTCAAACGTCTTTGGGGGCAGTCGACATCAGGTGCGGTACGACGCTATAGATGTCGACCTTATGGGTATTTGACATTACGAGGTCTGGCAAGGCATATGCATCGGCGTTTGGGGAATTCTAGTGGCGCTTTACGTCCACCATGGTCAGGAAACTACGGTGGTCTTGTGTATAGGTAGCAAAGGCTTGCATGGCGATAAAAAGGTGTATAGTAATACGTACGGGGTGAGCGATTAGGTCCCCTAACTGCTCGTCCCGCCTCTTCCATGGTGCGAAAGACCACGAACTGAACAATTTAGGTTTGCCAAGTGCTTATTTACGTAGGGTATATGATGTATGATTTTCAACGAGTCCCCTTCTTGTAGGGATATATCGAGGAACAACCACATTGTAATAAGCCTTGAAGGTCGGTGTAGGTTTGGTATGCCTGGTATGTTAAGATATGACCTAGTGCCTAGGTAGGTACTTAAAGTAAAGATTATTTAGGTACGAGTTGTGAAGAATATCGGATCCACTTTGATGTGTAATGTTGTGACTGAGCTGTTGAAGTATTGAAGGTTTTACATAGAGTGAATCACGTGAATGTTGTAAATATTGCAAACTCCTTAAATACCTGTGCCCCACTTAGGTGTAGTTCAGAAAAGGACAGTGCACGGGCCAAATGCAAGGGTCCATTAAATCAGTGAAATTCGGCCTAAAAGGGCAACTAACAACCAAGCGCCAAAGCAGCGCAGAATAACCCGTTTTCAAGGACCCCAAATAAGAGAAATAATCAGGCGCAACAAGTCGCAATTTTTTATTTTTCGAGTTCCCCAGGCTGATGCCGCACTCCCTAAATCAGACTAGCGACTTCCCGCAATTCGAATCAGTAACACCCCTCCCTCATCCACATAAAAGCCTACCTCCTCTCTCCCGCTTCTTACAACTCTCTTTTTTTCCTATTTTCTGGTTTATCCATCATCAACAAACGCATTTATCTCTCCGCAATTTGCCATCGATACTATACACTTTCCATCACTAAAACATCACCAAAACACATCTAAACCTCATCCAAGATGACTGGACGTAAGTGCATTGCCTTTTTCTATTAGTTTACCTTATCGCGTCGCCCGCCTAGTTTTGGTCGAGGGGCGCTTGTGGTTGGCGGGTCTAGTGATGGCTCGCTTCGCTGTCTGGACGCGTCTTAACTGGAGGCTACCCTTGACGCGACATGATTTCAATTAAATACTCTATTGTTCTAAACCTTTTACGTTTATACTGACATCGCAATAGGCGGCAAGGGCGGTAAGGGTCTCGGAAAGGGAGGTGCCAAGCGCCACCGTAAGATTCTTCGAGACAACATCCAGGGTATCACTAAGCCCGCTATTCGACGTCTCGCCCGTCGTGGTGGTGTCAAGCGTATCTCAGCTAGTAAGTCATTATCTTATGCATGCGGCTATAAAATGGAGTAGTTATTAACGGATTATCCAGTGATCTACGAAGAGACCCGTGGTGTCCTCAAGTCCTTCCTCGAGGGCGTCATCCGTGATGCCGTCACCTATACCGAGCACGCCAAGCGCAAGACTGTCACCTCGCTGGACGTCGTCTACGCCTTGAAGCGACAGGGCCGCACCCTGTACGGTTTCGGCGGTTAAGCGTTGTGTTCTGTGCACCTTTTTGGTTGGCTGCCTGTTCGTAGTAATCATTCTCAGTGCAAGTTAGTGGGCAGCAGCAACAGCAGCATCAGAGCAAATCGCGCGTGATGGACTCGGGATTTGTGTTTGTTACATTAAGGAATCTTGGCATGATACACATTCTGACATCGGCGTTGGTGGTTTTTACGTTACGGTTCATGGTCGCGCGCGATGACTTTTGAGAGACGGCGTCTAAGGACAGATAGCCTATGATAGTGCTATGGCACGCTGAATATACTTGCATCGTATTACGATTTGCTGTGAACAAGCCAAATGTTTCGAATACTTGTCATGTGTTTAATGATGCTGTATTATGGAACACTGGCCCTGACCATTTCTAAACTCGAAATATGAGTCAGATCCAATGAGTAATTGCTGCCTATTAAACGCCAAACGCCTTACATCGTTCCATTACACCCGTCTTACGTTCATAGTATGCATTGGTCATAGATATTTCCTCCCGGCCGCAGCAACCCTCTGTCTAAATACTGGACTACGCACTTCCATATTCACTCTATAGAAGGGGCTCATGATGGCCTTAACCCAATTCTCGTAGACCTCGAGCATAAAATTCTTAATAGCTTCCTCGGTCTGGGGGCTCGTGGGGTTGGCACCGATAGACGTAGAAGATCGCGTAGATGTCGTCGAGACGGGCATAGTCGGCTGATGTAGTAGGAGGAACTTGACATTGCCGCCGGTTATAAAGCAAGACACGTAATTATTGAAGAACTTATCGACACACTTGAGGTACCTTAATATCGCAAGCGTCGCAGTCAGTACCAGTCGTGTCTGTTCGTCCAATATTGCCCATGGCGAAGAGAGGGGGTCTGCGCTCTGCTTCGGTGCATACTTACATCTGGCCGCCTCCCCATTGGACCTCCTCGACGATGTCCAGACTGCTGTGCACGATGAACTGGTTCATGTGGCGCGCCTGTTCGCTGAAATGCGGCATGCCGTCGCCGCCCTGCTTCGACGTCCCGAAATCGTATTCGAATAGCGGGTTGTCTTGCGTGCCGACGATGGCGAAGTAGTAGGACATGTTGGGTGGTTAGCTGTCGAGCATTTGCGACGGGGCTGAGGTGCTTGCTTGTCGGGAGTGAAGCTTAGGAGTGCAGGATAGCTTCGACACAGAGGTAGGTACATGGATAGGATGTACTTCCGTAGAATGCCTATCGATGTTCAAACAGCGCTTATCGGCGTCGCATAGTGGGGAGATGCATAAGTACTTAGGTACTTGTAATCGGTGATTGTGGAAGCTTCAAACCGATCATCTAATGTGGCTCGTGCGCTGTCAATTGAACTTTTCTAGGTTAGGTTAATCGCTAGTTATTTAACTACTCCGATACTGAGATATGTTCTGATAGAGATCACTGAATCGTCGAGCAGTAATATCACACGCACAATGTTCGGCGCATTCAGAGTGACGAGTCCGCTGTCCGGCGGTCTGCTATGGTATGTGATGGAATAGGCAATTCTTAGCTAACTCAGGCCCTGGACAGTTTGGCAGCGTGTGCTAACCCCTACGATTTGTACAGGAAGATCCCATGGCGCCTATCGAAATTCCAGAAAGCACGGCAACGAAAGCGGCTGCGTGGTGTTGACTCGGTGGTGGATACGATAAGCATTGCATTAGCAAAGAAAGGCGAAACGCTGAAAGCCCTCGAGACGTGGAAGGAGACGATGCCTACAGAGGCCGAGATGCTGCCCAAAGACAAATACACCATGTTTGACAGGAAGGAGAAGCGATATAGAAAGGGCATTCACAGTACGTCTGCACTTATTTCTGCTTTGGGGAGGTGTGCAGGTATGAGGAGGTTACTGACTAGGATGAATAGAGCTTCCAAAGTGGACGAGAGTATCGCAAAGAGTGAACCCGCCTGGATATTAAGCATATTTATTACATTCCAGCAATTGAGGCAATTGCACGCTCCAATATATTACTTTACGGGATATACGTTATCGGGCTATCAAACGAGAGGCATCCGTAAAAAGGCATATCTTGATACGATAGTCTGGAACCGAAGATCATAGCCTAACGAGCTGTACATTACTGTACTTAAAACAAGAGAAGCGGTTATATTTCTCTCCGTATATGCGTGGAATGAAACAATGAAAACTGGTCACATCACCACAATAGGAACTAGTTGTGTTCTAAATAGCGGGTAACTACATGTTAACCATGTGTACCTATTCTTCTTATAAGCTTAAGTACCTATTAATGTTCGGGGTATCGACAAATCAGCCAACCAACTAGCAGCCTATAGCTTATCTTAGGCGCCCGTAGTCATCTTCCATATATTGATCCCGTTCCCTATTTCGTTGTCCCTCGCGTTCTCGGTCCGTCTGAATCGCTCTGCCTAAACCACCTCTTCCTTCGTCGTAGTCATCTCTGTACTCGTCTCGCACTTGGCCACCAGACTTGCCTCGGCCGTACTGGCGGCCTTCCTCGAAACCAGGATCTAGATCAGTTCGGATGATGCGTTCATCGAGCTTGGTGCCACCTATATATTTCATACAATCGAGCGCATCCTGATGAGTGTAGTACTCGACAAAACAAAAGCCACAGGGGGTCTTGCCGAATCGATCTAATCCCATAACCAGACGCTTGATCTCGCCGCACTTCGAGAAGAGTTCATAGACTTGTTCTTCGGTTGTGTAGAAAGAACTTGAATAAATGTCAACGGTTTGCCCAGGGGAAACAAGATTATATTGCAGCGAACTTACAGATTTCCGACGTAGAGAGTCGTGGCATTCCTCAGAGGATCTTCTAAAGACTCTTCCACCGGAACATTTACTTCGGCTTCGCCATCTTTATTATCTCGGCCGTGGTCGGTCCGTCTCTTTTTGTTCTGTTCCAATTCGACGTGTATTAGCTCACAACAACGCATATAAGCCAAACAGTACACAATAAAAGAGCTTACCCGACTATTATAATATGCGCTGGGACGGTCTAGCCTATCAACTGTCGATCGAAGTACGGAAGTCATCCTGGTAAAATATTCAACTTGCCGTATCGAAAAGGGGTGAGAGTTATGGTGATGTGCGAATGAATAAATGAATTAATGAATTGAGGGAAGGCTGAAATTGAAAGTTAAACGTCTGGAACGTTGATCGAGGAAGGCTGAAGCTATAGTCCCGCTTTTATTGATACGGCAGTAGGTCTTATGGCGCGTTGTATTACAAGCTGTACCTACCTACCGTGTCAGATCGCGCTTGGGTTTTTAGTTCCTGCGCTGCTAGGTTGGTACATTCGGCCGTACCCAAAGGTACCCGGCACATGCACAATCTAATACCTGTATGTGGTTTCCCGCCACCGTATAATTCCATAGCAACCATTTTAAAGGGTACCTCAATCTTAGATTTCTCCATGTACATCATCCACCCACCCTAGCTTCACCAGAGCTTACCGCAAGCAGCTTGGCAGAACAAACAAGAATAACCTATGTAACTACATACTATATGTAATTCACAGTTTACATCGAGCTCTTCTTCACCAATCGCCGGATACTATTCGATATTGTCCTGTATCTCAGGCAGAAATGCAATTCTGCTAATGACAGCATAACGTTAGCATCACGTATACACACCCAACACCCAACCTTGAAAAAGAAAATGCCCAAGATCAAGAGTTATACCCCAGCCTGGCTGTCGGCTCCCTCGCCCGGCTACGGCCTCTTTGTACCCAATGCCAACGAAACCCACGATACTTCAGCATATATTTCCAAAATCATCTCCAAGGAAGGTCCGCGACGAACAATTGCCCGTCGTGGTACCGAGGTATTCATTGCTGTTGGAAAAGAAATTAGATGGGCAGATCTGCTTTACCTAAAAGAACGATGGGAGGAGAAACAAGCCAAGGCTCGAGGTGGTGTCCGCATTAAACGTGAAGATTCAGATAACTTCGACGATGCTGGACTCAGAGAATCCATAGAGAGTGGGTGTGCTGAAGGCTTCCGAGTAAGTGAGGTCGCATTATGCATATCACTACCAAGCAGCTAATCTTTTCAGACCATTACAACCTCTGTCGGTAGCGATATCCAACAGCTTATCATCTCCCCGTATGCGAACTTCATGGCAGTTGTTACTACCCATACCGTTCGTATCCTCCTCCTACCCGACTCATCCCACCTTACGGCGCCTGGCCTTGACGCCATCAAACCAAAGTCATGGACCTTGGGCCCAACAACGCATGTTATGAACCGTTCACCAATTGCCTCGGCTATATGGCATCCATTAGGGGTTAACGGTTCTGCGTTGGTGACGGTTACAAAAGATGCCGCCGTAAGAGTCTGGGAACTTTCCCAGAGAGACCGATGGTCTTTCGATTCTCCCTCCCTTACTATTGACCTACAGAAACTGGCGGACGGCACTTCGCTGGACCAAAATTTCGCCGCCTCGCCCGATGTTACAAATAAGGGATTCTCTCCGGATTCTTTCGAGATGGACGTAGCAGCAGCGTGTTTCGCTGGTAGAGGCTCTGGTGGTTGGTCACCGATGACTCTCTGGGTTGCGATGCGAGAGGGAGATGTATACGCCCTATGCCCTCTACTACCGACGCAGTGGGCCCCTCCGCCTACGCTAATCCCGTCGCTCTCTATCTCGATTGTTGGGAATCTTGCAGCGATCGAAGACGATCCGAACGTGTCCGGACAAGCGAAGTTGCTCGCTCAGCAACAGCTGGATTGGATGTCAGACCTTGACAACCAAGAACCTAGAATTATCGAAGGACCCCCTGGAGAACCGCCTACGGAGATCTATACTCGACCTACACGACCCGGTGTAGTTCCTCGCTTACAAGGGCCCTTCGACCTCGAACTGAGCCCCGAAAGTGAAGACGACTTAGACACAGAGCTGACAGATATTTTTGTCATTGGACAAAAGCTTGACACTGATGAGTTAATGATGGGAGAAGAAGATGAGCTGGATATGGAAGATGTTGAAGGAGAAGGCCTGTCACTCTCCGTCATATGCTTACTCTCATCCAGCGGTCAGCTGCGAGTATGCCTAGACTTAGATGGTGTCCAAGCTCAGTGGCTTCCTCCTCGAAATAAATCGAAGGCTATGGGGCGTCTAGCCGGATCTCCGGTTCTACTAACATTTCAGAGCATGGATATTTTGAATTCCTTGGAAGTTACGGAGAATGCCTGGCCAACGTTTAGCCCGGACGTTACTTCAAGGTATTCCTTCTATATCACCCACCCTTCCAGCATCACACATGTCTCTCTATCTCCATGGGTCTTCCGTCTGGAAAGCGAACTACAAGGCGATTCGCAAGCTGGGTCTGAGTTTAGAATTGATTTACTTGTCAATGGGCAGAGCTCTACTAGAGAGCGGCTCTATACAAGTGCAATCCAGGGCGACGCGCAGTTTCCCCTAACAGCTTCAGTCGCTATTCGCGATCCCGACCTTGGCTACTTCTTATTATCCGCAACGCCGTTCGATCCAATTGCCTTGGTATTTGATACGCCAGAGGATGACCTCGCCCCCATCCGATCCGCCTCACCTTCCTTCGACAGGGATGCAGAGGTACAACCCTTGGAATTCTACGAGCCTCGCCCCGTCTTCCAGCCATCACACTCCTTCGACATGGGTTCGGCGCTACCAAAATTACTAAACCAACTCCGCACTAGTCGCCAGAAGACAATAGTCAACCAGGAAGTTCGACTCTCTCCAGCAACCCTACAAATTTTCACAGAAGCGCATCAGGTACTTAGCGACGAAACTCATAAACTTGGCGTAGCAGCTGCCGAGGTGTTCCGACGATGTGTTCAGTTACAGACAGAACTTAAGCAGCAAGTCGCCAAGGCTAGTGAAGTTAAGGCTAGGGTTGAGGCTGTCACCGGGGAGGATCAAGATGAAGACGAACCAGAATCGAGCAATGCTGCAATGGAAAGGCGGATACAAAACGCGAGGGAGAAGGGCGAATCCCTCAACCGAAGATTGGAAAAGATGCGAAAGCTAGTCAATAAGGCGACCAGTCGGGAGTTGAGCGATAAGGAGAAGGCCTGGGTCAACGAGGTCAATACCTTGGATGCCAACTTGTTCGGGTCTACAACGACAACCGGGCCAAGCCGGCTTAAAATGACCAAGAAGAGGTATGAAGAGGTGATGCGATTAAGAGATGAGCTCTTAGAGGAAGCAGAGAGGCTAGGCGTGTCGGTTGAGGAAGGAGAAGAGGGCTTGAGCGCGTCAACAACTGACTTGCGCATACCATCGGAGCTCCGAAAGGCAAAGATCAACCAAGTAAAAGGACTCATCGAGCGTGAGACAGCCTTAGTAGATGCTGTGAAATCACGGCTTGAGCGACTATCAGTAGGGTAGGTAGAAGCGCGGCAAGCAGGTGTGGCGCGTCGGGATGCATGCCGTCAAAAGATGTACCCCATCAAGGACTGTATTAAATGTAATACCACCTCTATTCTATCTAATATATGTCCAGCTAAGAAATAGGGCGATTGGACAAGTTGATTGTGGCTTGTGGCGGGTTTCACTAACTAGGATATAATCAGCAGCATCGTTGTCGTGGCGGTCCCTTGGCGAATCTTACCGTTACTCACTGTGACGTCTCGAAGCAGTATTGCCAGATGCCCAATTGGGATCAGGGTAGGGTAGAAAAGCAGGAGTTCCAGTGCTGATCGTTTCTTTCTCTTGCCTCAACCGGTTCCACTACAGGAGTTACAGGAGATGAATCTTTTCGGCACGTTGCGTCCAATAGCAAACATGCAAAACATCAGTCCACCTGCAGCCTTGCAATACACAAGTCTAGACGGATAGGCGGATAGGCGGATAGGCGGATAGGCAGATAGGCAGATAGGCTTCCTAAGATAAGCCATTCGATGGTTATGGTGAAGAGTTTGCGATGGAAGGAGATCGATCTAGTTAGCCTCAAGTTCTACTTGACGACTGCGTTGGTATATCGACAAAAAAACGACAGCGATACGATAGAACTACGAGACTGAGGTGGTTAAATCCTCACGCTTAAAAGCTGCACCTCTCACCTGCTTGCAGGTTATATAACTTAATGACCCCTTCCACCTTGAAGAATATATCTCTCATCTTCTGACGTTCCCATCACACGCGAGCTGAAAACGTTACAATGGCTACCTTTACATATAGGTAACTAACTATTTCATAAAAGTCCTAGTAGAAGGTTGCTAAAAATTCCCAACACTCCCGAACCACCCGCCAACCGGCCAATGCTCGCCCTGTTTTTTATTGGCCATGAATGTCTCAATAAGCTAGCCCGGTATTATTCCATATTCCGCCCATTACGACTCCGCGTCCGACCCGAAGGGCTTCTAGGCGCCATGTCTCTGCAGCCTTTCACACAGGTGTGTCTCGGGGCGACGATAATCATCGTCTTTGGGGTACATTTACAGGATAGACGGACAGCCTGCAGTGGCAAAATCCTGCCCAACCCCCAGGGTTTTCCCTTAGAGTCTCTCCTTAAATCGATCAACACGGGGTGTTTGCATCTAAGTCGTGCATCTCATTCGTACGACCTAGGGGCCGGTGCTCATTCTCTGCCGGTAGAGAGAAAAGAGGTGTGTCCCGTACAACCTTTCTCAACATGCTGCCGGGAATATTCGCCCATCACCGAGACCTAGATTTCCCTTCGTGTACCCCTTTATTACCACCGTTAGTCAGCCTTTGCAGCCATTGACGTATTAGCGAGGCATGCATTTCGCTTGCGTCTTATTGGCTTCCAAGAAGAGCATCGGGATGTATCATTCATATTAAGTTACCTATGTCATACGGACCCTTCTTGGGCTGAGACTCATTCCCTCGGGGCCAAGGCCAGTCGTCGATAGATCTAATGCCACATAGTTTGCCTCACTTCTTGTCAGTAGATGCTGCATGAAGCTGGGTTTCTGATACATGAGCTATCTAGATGGACCGTTGCACGCGGAACTTGTCTTTCGCCGCACATATGTGTATATAAGACGGCACATCTATAAATCGATCAAACTTTTCAACTTACAGCTTACGGTTCACAAATTTTGATCAATGCTTATACGTTCCTACGACCAAACCTTGCAAGCATCGTCTTACCGTCAGTCATCATTCAACATGGCGCCCTCGACCGTAGTCTTCGATTATAGGGGCCAGATTGTAGGCAAGTAGCTTACAGATTGTCACTCTCCAGCTCATCATAATGTTTTCTAACACATATCTATAGATAACTGCGAGTTCTTCTTAGCCAAACATGACGTCGTCTCCGTAGTCACCGTCAAGGACGTTCTAGGAGACTATAAAGCATATGCAATTCGGTCCAACCAGAGCTCACGAGACGCCCTTCTCTCCTCCGAACCCCGTGCTACGCCTCTACTTGCCGTAGAATCGCTTCATGCCAAGTCGTGCGAGGCCGTCCGGCAGTTCATTACTACCAATGGGTTCTCCTTTCCCCCGAACTCCAAGAAAACTAGATTTGACGATGATGACGACGAAGACGAGGACGAGGACGAGGATGATGGGAATGATGATGACGATGTAGCTTCTATCTTCTCCAATATCCTATCCGATCGTCCCGCGCTGTCAACCGTGGCCTCGTCTTACAAGGCAAGCTCGAATGGCGAGGTTAAAATGACGCCTGCCACGTCCACGGCCACGGCCACGGCCCCCATCACTCACGGCCGCGAGATCAGAGACGAGAGAAGCAACAACATCAGCAAGCCCCGCACCAACCCGCCCCCACCAGGTCGCCAGTCCCCCGAAGCTTTCATATTCCCAAACATCCGTCCTCCTTACACGCTATCCCAGGCAGAAGAGCTAGTCATGGAGCTTATGAACGGCCCCCTATCCAACAACTACCCGCGGTTCCCCGGCCCCCCGCCGCCTCCACCGCCGCCACCGCCCGGATACAACACAGCCCCCAAGCCCCAACCAGCCGTCCCGTCCTGGCCCCCCGTGGCGCGCGGCTCATCCATCCCGCCAGCAAACTTCTCGACCCCGGGCTCGCGCGGGCTACCCCGCGGCCAGCCCGCCACCACCAGCAGCGCGTTCCCGGCGGCCAGCCCGCGGCTATACGACATCGCGCTGACGATACGGTGGGTGGGCCACGGCGAGGCGCGGGTGCTGGCCAGCTGCAAGGCCAGCGTGCAGGCGCTCAAGAACACGGCGGTGACGTACGTGACGCGGCACGCGGGGGCGTTCGACAAGGACGGCGCGCCGCCCAACCGGAACAATCCCAAGTGGACGGGCTGCGTGCGGCTGCGGCGCGCGAGCGTGCGCAACGTGCACGACGAGGAGTACGACCTGAACATGGAGCTGTACCAGGACGACGACTTGACGCGGCTGTGCAGCGGGAGGGGCATTCCGAGGTTTGAGGTGGAGGTTGAGGACCAGGTGGATGGGACGGTTTAGGGGGGAGGGGCTTGATGTGGTGTGGTGTGATACGATACGATACGATATGATATGATACGGGGTAGGTTAGGTAGGTAGGTACCTAGGTAGGTAGGTACCTAGGTAGGTTAGATAAAAGCACTTGAGCTTTGGTTGGTTGCGAGGGGAGGGAGGGGAGCGAGGTTCAAAGAGCGAGCGCTGAGAAATGAATGGGTGGGTGGGTGTATGGGGATGGGATAGGGGTTAGATTGTCACTTTTACGTGGTTCTTTCGTACGGTGTGCTACGGACTGTTGTTTGCTGTCTCTTTACGCGTACCGGGTATCTCTGCTGGCCGGCTGGTATGTTGTACGAGTACGTTATGAATCCATATGAATGTTCAATGAGGACTGGTGATTTGAATGTGGTGGCTCTATTAACTAGGTGCCTATGTAGTTGGCTATAAGTGCCTAAGGTAGGTAGGTAGGTAGGTACTTCAGATATGTTTAATTAACTAACTACCCCTATAAGAAAAAGGATCCTACTCGTTTAACCTGTAAGCTTGTAAGGGCGTATATTTCTATTATAAGGCATGTTAATATTGTATGAACTGGTTATATGAACTCTATAATTCTCATAGGTTTGTTTTAAAACAGCAGGATAAATATAGCCCATGATCTGCAAAAGGAAGTGATCCCTATATAAGCCTTCTAGGTTAGCTTGTTGGCTATATTTTCTACAGGCAATAAGCCTCATTAACAGATTTCGTGTAATAAACATAAGTCAGGTACGCTATACTATTATTCGTGAACAATAAATCTTACCGAATATATGTCTACCAAACAAAGTGTAAAATTAATACATAAATATATATCCTAGCAGGTAGCTACCTAAATAATATCCAAGCCTATAGGGATAATTGTTTATACTACTACTACAACTTACATCTTATAGTCATTCTTTTAGGTCTTATTACAACTACCCAGGAAGTCATTTTCTACTATTGGATTTCTACTATAACTCTTCATAGCCCTTTCGTCTTGACCTGCCAGCCAATCTCGATCATGCAACTAGATATCTCCGTACCCGTTGAAAACCCTCCCGGATTTAAGAGGGTTTACACCTACGACTATATCCTTAGCTATACCTCTCGGCGTATTAAATACCCCGCACCGAATGAATTATCACTACAAGCTGGGCCGTCTGTTCTCACCTATACGGCCTTTAGCCGACTATCTCCGGGCGCCGTCTTGTACTTAAGAAGACACCCCTTACTAGAACTAGAACCATGTCGCCGCCTCACTTCCGTGGCATATTCGGGTGTCCATCTTATCCGACGCAAGGGACAGAATGACAAGCTCACCATATCCAACCAAAGCGCGGATCCGCGAGATCTTCGCCCATCTCACCGCAGGTGACGCCCCGACCTTCTATACCCACGTCGCTGACGACGTCGACTGGACCATCATGGGATCACACGCGTTATCGGGCCACTACTCTGACAAGGCAACTCTGATGTCCAAGGCCCTGTCTCGAATCGGCAGTCTTTTCGACAGCCCTATGAAACTCCGCATCACCGGTGTTATTGGTGGGGAGGTCGAGGAATGGGCTGTGGTCGAAATGGCCGCAGATGGGATATGCAAGAACGGTAAGCTCCCTCTCCCTCTCCCTCTCCCTCACTGCCCAGCGCGATATTCCACCATTTCCTCGGCCGGGGGACAACAAATCCTTCCTCCAACCGCCGAAATTCCCCTCAGCATGAACTATATGCGGGTTGACGTTCGCGGGTGTGTCACACGACAGCTTCGCCGAGATGTAAGGCATCCAAGCTGATTAACGCTTCTGCTTAGGTCTGGTATACGAGAATACTTACTCGTGGTCGACGCGGTGGCGAGACGGCAAGATTGTTCAAGTGCGAGCGTATCTGGACGGAGTGCTCTTAAACCGTGCTTTGGTGGAAAATGAAGAGAATAAATCTTGATCGTCAAAGATATTATTGGGAGTGTTCGAGGGAGTGTCCGAGGGTGGGTTTTTTTCTTTTCTTTTCTTCTCTTCTGAATTAGTACGGGACCTTAATACATACCTACCTGATAGGCTCGAAAAGCGTGTACGTATATAGATTGTCTAATGCGGTAACCAAGCTCATCACGTCCCGCTATGATTGGCCGACGGTGAAATTCGCTCTTCTAGTTGGCCAAGAGCTCGCGGCCTCCAATTATAAATTTGCCGGTCCGGAAGCGCAAAGGTGACCGCAGCACGCCAATGCCCCTTCACCTCTCTCCGCGATCCCGACCCATCTCCGATATATTGGTCCCCTCTGTACAGACAATCTCATCTGCCGCTCCCTGTGAAGCATGGTGTTGGAACCGTCTTGATGCTACCGGCTATATCAAGGGATCTCCAAGCAACCCACCCCGAGATCACAGAGCACGCCATCCTGTAGGCTGTAGTTGACATGTATACGTAAGATGCCATTGCGATCCGCGCTCTCTCCTCTTCCTCCAACCGAGCTTCACGGCCTATCTCGGAGACGGGTGCTTAGTGCCGTAGATTTCACCTCTTGGAGTCTTTCCCCCTCTCGTCTCCCGCATATATATGTCCACTCCTATAAAGACATATATCCAGTCTTCGTCCCATCTGGCCGTAACATCGTGAAATAAGATCAATCTCGAAATAGATAGCAACCCGTTACCCTCGTTACCTCAGCCTCAACTAAAGCAAAGCAAAGCAAAGCAAAGCAAAGCAAAGCAAAGCAAAGCAAAGCAAAGCAAAGCAAAGCAAAGCAAAGCAAAGCAAAGCAAAGCAAAGCAAAGATGGTTTCCCTACACCCCCTCCTCGACAACGGCATCACCAAAGGCGACCCCAATTTCTCCGGCGGCACTCTCTACTGCAAATGCGCCACCGACCCCGTCGCCGTAACCCTCAGCTCCAACGTCGCCCACAACCACGCCTGCGGCTGCTCCAAGTGCTGGAAGCCCGCGGGCGCGCTCTTCAGCATCGTCGGCGTCGTGCCGCGGGACAGCCTATCGGTCACGGCCAACGAGTCGAAGCTCAGCATCGTGGACCCCAAGGCCGCGATCCAGCGCCACGCCTGCACCAGCTGCGGCACGCACCTGTACGGCCGCATCGAGACCGACCACGCCTTCAAGGGCCTCGATTTCGTGCACGCCGAGCTCAGCCCCCAGAAGGGCTGGCAGGAGCCCCAGTTCGCCGCTTTCGTCTCCAGCATCATCGAGCAGGGCTTCGACCCCGCGAGCATAGGCCAGGTTAGGGATAAGCTACGCCAGGTCGGCCTGGACACGTACGATTGCCTTTCGCCCGCCCTGATGGACCTTATTGCTACGTATACTGCTAAGAAGACCGGCGTCCTGAAATGAACGCTGAAAACTTAGATAAAAAGGGTACCTAGTTATTAGGATGGTTGTTGGGAGACACATCGCAATGAACGAGGTTATCCATGCCCTCAATTGCGCTTGTTAATTGTAACTCGGGTTGATACATACCTACCTAGGTACCTATGTACGTATCTGAAGGCGGCCAGCAAAAAGAAAAATATACCATATTGTGACATAGGCAGGTGGTGCAGATTTATATAAATACAAGCCCCCATATGTGGTGTCCATCAAGGTGTCCCTCCAGATGCCTTTTGTATCCTGGCATTCCCTGCATTTACACCGGCAACCTTGTTTATTGGCTGGGGGATTACTGAGTGTCATCGGTAATTGATAAGAGTCCATATCATGTCAAAGGTAGAATATGGTAGTGTATATAATAATTGTAGGATATATATGAGAAGACACACAGATAATCTAGTTCCTTGAGACGGCGTGTATTGCGTTTCTAGAGGCTAATGCTATCCAATTCATCTAGGAGCAAAGAACCTTTGCGCCCTGGGCATCGAGGTTACGATTCAAAGAAGGACGATATTTTCGCGTTTCTCCCAAATCAATATGCGGCACCAATAATCAACAAGTCCATCAATGCTTCATCTCTATTTACGAGTCTAGATCAGTATCGCCCCACCACTGTGATCTAGTCATTCAGATATATTATAAATGTCCTAGGCGGAGGTTAGTCCAAGCCGCTGAATCTATCGCCGACAACGCCGCCCAAATGCCATGATGCTAGCAAACAACTCCACGAGGCCTCGACGGACGGGCCTCTATGTCCAAGCACCTAATATATACCCTGGGTGCGGTATTGGAAAGTGTCATAACTATACATTGTCAGTATGGCATTCGACTTGGTTAAGGGGAGCGTTGGAATTACAGTCGTGTATAGTAGCTACCAAGGGACTTCGTAATGAGATCAGTCTCCACGAAAGTTTCGGCTTCGTCGGCGCTTAGATGTAGCTGGAAGCGTTGCTTCAACGTTGCCGTTGCTTGCGTGACCCCGGCTGCATAACAGGGCATTTTCGAGTCTAGTCCCATCATTCTGACTAAATCGACAATATTGTCTGCGTGCCGACGTAGAGCTGGAGAGCGTTAGATATAAAACTTCGCCTAGATACTTAGTCTGCCTAGACTTACCTTGGAAAGCTTGCTTGCATAGCGTCTTAAAATCTTCAAAATCCGGAGAATCAACTCCACCCAACACATCCACATATTCCCAAGTTAGTTTGAATGGAGCTGCTTCAAATCCAACGGAGCCGGGCGAGTTCGAGAGCATGAATCCAAAATCGATGTGGATAATATGCCCTTCGTTGTCAATGAGCACATTGCCATTGTGTCGATCTTTCAACTGTAATATATACGAGATAATGCTGTATGCTGCAAGGGAACGCTTAAACGCATCTACAGCGGCTTTATAGGGCTCGCTCCCGGGCTTGCCAAACGTTTTAACCCAATGATCCTTTAGCGTAGCAAGGCGACGTCGAGGATTAATGCCCGACTCGATCGATGATAAAGTCAGACTCCGCTTAAGTGAATGCAGAGAGACGCCGTTCGTAATTGTTTCGACAAGCCCCGAAGACTCTCCAGTGACTAAGATTCGCATGAGTTTCACCCATACAGGTACGCCAGCATCGACCCAAATCTTATCGCAGACCTGAATGAGCTGACACGCAAACGCTTCTTGTCGAAGATCGTCTCCTGTTTTGACGATAACACTGACCAAATCCCAATTTTTCATCCATCCGTACGGTGACGTTTTTCGTATCCGCTCCTTTTTCATGTGCCACGCCTCCCCAAATACCGCGGCGCTAGGATCGTCGCGGTCACCTGTTCTCTGCACTCCTCCTGTCATTGCGTCGTTTTCCATTCGAGCGGCACCGGCATTTGGGTCGCTTGTTGGATCGATATCTTCATCTAGGTCGTTGTTTTCCGAAGCCTGGGCTGCCGCGCTGGCTTTTGCCATGATCAAATCAAACGTAGGACCTTGGCCATCGTCAAGGTCGAAACTTTGTTCTTCGAGGCTCTGCATGCTGGCGATGATCTTCGACCTAATGGCTGCGACTTCTTGCCGCGGACGTTTACCACTTGTAGCATCAAGCTGGGCTAACATTTGTGACGCCGTCCTCATATGTGTTGCCAGAGCCGAGAAATCAGGTTGCTCAGTAGACGTATTGCGTTGGGTCGGCAATGGTACTCTCCTCAATGGACCAGGGCTGCTTGACCTCGACGTTGACGCTGCCGACGTGCGCGATGGGGTTAGGTCGGTCGTAGACGCGCTTGCTATGCCATTGGACACGCTCTTTCGAGGGCTAGGTTGCTTCCCGTTCCTTTTACCAAAGGACCCATTATCATCGAAGGGCTTTAGCATCGGTGATGTTCCTAAGTCCCCCGATGTTGGTTCGAAGACGCTATCTATATTTTCCAACGCAGGTTCAGACACCCGTTCAGTAGCAGGCGTCCCCGGCGCATCTGATAAATCGAAGAGTCGCTTACGAGTACCTTGCTCAGCCACAAGGTTGCTGAGTAGTCTCTGGTTCTCTCCGGAGTTGGGATCGAAAGTAAAGTCATCGCGAAGGATCTCAATCATGAGTAAATATGGCACCTTTTCGGCACTGTTTAGAACGGTGGCTTCGGCAGGGTTGACCCTGACGATACGGTGATGGCGACTCTTTGCAGGCGAGCCATCTACTAGAGTAGGCGGGCATATGATGGGTATATCCAGCTCAGCTGGTAAGTCTCTAGCAATTAGTGCGAGCTCGGCGCGCAAAGCACTAAGACGGGCTGGCTTTGGCACTATAACTAGCCGATTAGATATGTCCTCCAGCGCCGTCAGAAATGCGGTTTGGCAGTGGAAATAGTTCTGTCTGAGTAGCCTGGCTTTCTGGGTCTCAGTCATCTCTGCTAGACTCGCCAGAGTCTTCACGTGGTGGGAATGCCTGCGCGAGATTGTGTCTGTTGGACGTGGAAGGCCAGCAGAGAGCGGGGTGATCGGTCGTGTTATCATCCTTGGGGACCTCACTTCGGGAAGAGGAAGGGAAGACGAACTTAACCTAGCGTCCAACAGCATGCTGTCGACGTAGGTCGGTTTTCGCGATTCGGCCGTGGCATCTTCGTTTCTTTCAGAACTCGCAGATATATGAGTAACAATATGTGGTGGTCTTCTCGGTGATGATACAGCTTGTTTGGAATCGGACGTACTTCCCACTCGGGCTAAATCACGAGGTCGGCGTGATCTTGTTGTGTTTCCGGTGACAGTCTGACTCCTGGCAACCTTGGACATCTGGCTTGGCTGGTTTGACTGACTCGGTAGGCTCGTTTCCGATATGACATTGGTAGATGGTTGCGACCTCCTGGCTTGTGCAACAGCTAACGGGCCCGCCCATTGCGGAAGGGTTGGGAGGCCGATACTGGCCAAAACAAAACTTGCAAGTACTGTAACAGGTAAAATATTCTCTTTAATCTTCTCGTGTCTTGCGCTGTCCGAGTGTCCAAACACAATATGCTGTACTTTATTATAAACTCTCCGGCAGGTTTTGAAGGCCTGAGCCTGCGGTGTCGAAGCGAGATCGTGAAGGTAAGTTTGGAAGAGCCAAAACGTCTATAAAGCATTACTCAGCAAACTATTCTTACAGCACGGTTTCGGTATGGGCGCAGACCAGTAGAGCGGCAGTTACGGATTCTTCGCATAGGTCTAGCAGAAACTCCTCCAATGCCATAGAGTCATTGTCGACACTTATTATAAGGTGGCATAGTTGAGGTAGGAAGAACTCGATGTCCTCGTAGGGAAATTGGCGGAGCTTTGAGCACAAAACATAGTGGATTCCGACATGGTCTGCATATCGACTGTATAAAATGGGTCAAAAGGTTGTCGTAGCAAAGTTATGGGAGGGGTTTGCTTACGATAGATAGGAAACAGAGAGGAAGGGGTTCTGGTTGAAGACATCACTCTGGATAAGGCGCTGGAGTAGATCCCACGACATAGCGAGTTGTCTTTTTGAATAGAAGAGATCGTGAGGCCTGATGCCTCACCTATGTTCGACATTAAATGATTGTACCGAATAAGAAAGATAAGCTGTCATGGCTGTCGGGTGCAGCGAAGCATGGATGGGATGGTGAACGTGACGAAACGACGAAACGACAAAATGTTGAAGTATCGAAGTGTCGAAGTGTCGAATGTCGAATGTCGAAGTTGCTCTGGTGTCGGCGCGCTGCTTCTCTCACAAGTCAATACGACACAAGCATCGAGTAATAAATGTCCCTTTCTGGCCTTCTTGGCAGGTACATGTACTTTTGATAATCCACTTCTAACGCACTCAAAGTTTCTTGATTGGCTCACGTATTCTTAGCGTTACTCTTATTACACGAGGAAAGTGTCAGTCCATGTGCAGTACTTCCTGGCCTCTATTCGACGGTAAGAGCTTCCGAATCTACCGAGAGCTGTCTAAACTTTAATAATAGGTTCGCCTGTAAGACGGGACTTGAAGTCACACAGCTTTGGCTACTTTAGCTTGAATGTTTAAACGCTTAAAACAACACAAAAATACAGTAACATACTTTATAACATATGTACCTATAGCTATACCTAGGTAGGTAATGACCTATTATAAAATCTATACGTTAACGAGCCCTTTGACAGTGAATTTCTTTGTTGATAGTATATATATAATATTATGCTAAGCAGAGCATTTGATATCGAGCCTCGACTGCTATTATGAATAGAACAGCAAAGAGATAAAGCAATCGCTAAGAAACAATCGCATCGAGGTATCAATCATTAGGTGAATAAAGATGTGTTTACTGCCATAGTTATGGCGCGTACCGACTACATTCCTTGCCTAAATGCCTAATTATCCCATACAATTGGTGATATTCGTCTCGCAAGCCGCCCAGACCCGTCTTCCAATCATAAATTCAGGGTAGCCCCTAAACCTCCAACGCCGGTATAATGCCCCTAGGTATAAACGCCAGTGGCCTAAATCATTCATCGTGACCTCATTGCTGTCGTGTAGCCCGTAGAAAGAGAACCAGATGACACAGTATTAGCCAATGGCTACGCAGGCGCTTTCTTCTTGCGTCCGCCCCTTCCCTTCTTCTTAGTCTCTCCGACGTCTCCCTCTTCGTCACTATCGCTATCAGGTTTAGTTCTGCCGGAGCTCTTGCCGCCTTCTTTCTCCTCGCCGACCTTGGCGACAATGTCTTGTAGGAAATCCCATTCAATAGCCGAGCTTATCGCTTGCTTGAGCATCGGCGCCGTGATTCTTTTGGAATTCTTCTCTTTAGCCACCTCAGCGCTCTTACGAACCAGTTGTACCATGAACAGTTCCAGCGCTTTTCCAACTGCGATGGGGGTTTGCTGGGCGACTTTGCCCACTTCCTCATCAGCTTGCATTATACGCTTAATACGTGCTGTGGGAAACTTGGTTTTGACTGGGGACGGTTCCACCTCACTTTGCTTTGCTGCCGGCGCGATCTTTCGTGGCGGCATGGTGCTTTGTGGCTTTGACGGGTTGAATTGGTTGAGAACAGCAGGTGGTTGCGAGGGTTGGGTTTGAGAAGGCTGTGTTTGTAGTTGTGCTTGTAGTTGATGATAGGTAGCGGGTGATGCGGGCTCGGGATAGGACGAGTAGTAGGACGCGGAAGCGTTCGGGGGTTGTAGGATATATGGCGATTGGTTTGTTTGGGCGAATTGTGTTTGTTGTCGGGGAGAGAAGTATTGTCCTTGTTGTCCGGCAGTGCCTTGAGACGGATAGGTGCTGAAAGCGGTGTTGTTGCTGCCGTTACTACCGTATGCAGGAGCGCTGGTAGGCGGTACAGAAGACGGTATGGATGATTGATAAGTGTTGTATTGGTGGGGCTGTGGCTGATTATATCTTAAGGGAGCTCCTGTACCAGCTCCTGGACCGGCCCCAATTCCAGCTTGAAAGAGATAGCCACCTGGGGCGTTGTGGTTCTGGGGAATGTCAGACGTTGAGCTGGAATAAAAAGAAGAAAGGTCGGGCGACTTTGGCGCATACGAGCTGTCTTGGGTTGACATGGTCTCAATGTTAAATGTTAAATGTTAAAATTTCGCAACGGTAGACCGGTAGACCGTAGAAAACTGGGGAGGGTCAGAGCTTTGGAATGGCGGGGCAGCTCTTTTGAGAGTGCAGCCGTTTTTTTTTGTGGTGAAATATTTGGGTAGGTGCAGTTTGTGTGGCTGGTCAAAGTCGCTAGGAAAGTCGCTAGGAAAGTCGCTAGGAGAACAAGGGTGGCCTATGTTTTATCTAGTCGCGACCAATAGTTATAGTGAAAGTACCTACAGTACAAGATAGGTACGCGGGCAGGAGGTAGCAGGAAGGTAAGGGTGGACTAATGCAGGAGGTAACACCCAATGATCATACGCACACAATGATGCAGGTCTGAGGTGTGTTTGCGTTGTATGCCTAAATATGTAGTCCACCGCGCAGGCAAGAACACAATTAAATAGTTGGTTAAGTACTTGCTCGTACCCGAACCGTATTGTACTGAATGTACTGAATGTACTGAATGTACTGAATGTACTGAATGTACTGAATGTACTGAATGTACTGAATGTACTGAATGTACTGAATGAGTCAGGAGGTTCCGTACAAAGAACCTTATGACTGACTGCTAGAGATAGGTAGTGACTGCGGCCGCGGGACTAAAGGACCTGTTAATGAATTGAATGGAATTGTACAGTACAGTCCAAATATCAATCCAAAACACTGTTTCAACTTGGCAGGTCGGCCTGATTCGGTACGCCGAGCATTTAAAAAAAACCTTAGAATTAAGGTAAAGGCCAATAATTGATGGGATGTACCTAGGTAAGGTAGCGTCTCAGCGTTGTAAATTGCCGGGCGGTGAAGGTGGGGTGTAATAACTGGGGGTCTGTGCGTGGTTGCTGATTAGGTACAATGTTGCTTGGTTGGTTGACAAGGGAAGGCTCGGGTCAAGGTCTTGTTAGAACCAATGCAGCGGGTTCAGAATTTTGCGCCAAATTCTGTCGACCGCAGCACGGGCGGCGAAGGAGCACTGGTTTTATATCCGCAAAAACCACCAGAACGGCAAAATCAAATCAGGGGGTCCCAGTAATCGCGATTGGCACCGCCACAGCATAAAAAAAAAGTACAGAAAAAATAATACAACTTAGAAATCTAACACTGATTTTAATGTAACATTCTTCCTTGTATTCACCGAACATAACACCCTATACGAATTGTCTATCATTATTCATTATTGAAGGATGGTCACTCAACCTCCTCCATCTACAAATCTACAAATCTACACATCTACACATCTACACATTCGTGTAGATTTATGCGAATTACATGTCAACTATCTCAACATAGATAAATTATCAGACCCAAATATCTACGTTGATCTTGTCACAAATGAATTTAGCACGTGTGTGTCGCCATCGACACTAAGAGGATCGAGGACTTTTGTCGCGCATAAGCCGGTCTCATCAAGGCTCCCGCAGATCATTAGGCTGCAGAGGTCGGGGGCGATTTTCTCAAGGTAAATGACTCTTGCTCAGCCTTATATTGGGGGTTTCCCTTCTTTTCCTATTATGGTTTTCTTTCGAAAGAAAAGAATTATCCGTGGAAATTCATATGACATTGCTCCGGACTTTCTATAATAGGTGCATATATAATATCTCATTACCCTTCCTCCTCGGTGTCCACTTAGTATACAGCCTACCTACATAGGTGCAGTTGTTACTCTAAGGGTACCTACTTGCTTCTAGCGAGAGAAACGCCTTGGCGTGTCATGAATGATGATGATTATGCAAAGAGCTTTGTCCAGAGACTAAGTAATAACATTAGTCTAGAAACCGAGTGTTTATAACCCTATGGTTTCTTTTCTATTGTTCAAGTTTATGATGGCATTACTTGATCTAATCTGACATGACATCAGCACGCCACAGAATTCACATGAGTCTTATGCCAAGCGGCTGCGTGACTATTATATTAAATATTAGATATTAGATATTAGATTTGGTTTAGATATCTGCCTAATGAATATTATCTCGAATTTCCTTCACCAAAGACTTTAGTCCTTTTTTCCTATTGCTTGGTGAGCTACTAAGAAATACACAGGCTATCGGCCAAGCATGAATTCCCCCCTTTTCCTCTCTACTGTGAACTTTTATGTCATTTTCCTCCAAGAAGCTAATAAGAGCTGAAATTTCGGGCGCGAAGACCTCCTCAGCACCGTAAGCCACAAATATGCCTCTCGAGGGTGCCGCATGCTTCCACCACGAAACGTCTCTACAATTGCCCGGTGATAAAAGCGGATCGTTGACCGACACTTTCTCTCCTGCGTACTGGTGTGCATATCGATGCAGGGTTTCGGTGTTAAGGTAGTCACTTGTGGTATTTTGATGCTTGCTAGAGACCAGCGTTACCCAAGGTGAAATAAGTACTGCCATCCCAGGTTTTCCCAGGCGCCACGCCCCGGTAGGTCTATTCATCTTTTCAAGGTGGCGGCCGATATGAGAAAGATGGAGCAGCAAGCTGAGTACAATGGTAGCACCAGCTGAGTCTCCGCTGACGCAAATCCTATCAGCATCTTGCACCGTTGAGAGCACATGCTCGTAGCCGGCGATGGCTTCTTCAAGCTGCGTTGGAAAGTTGACATCGGGGACCAGCGAATATTCCAGAGCAAAGATAGCTGGGTTCTCATATCCGCTATCATTCAATAGGCTCAGCCATGTGAGCAGAAACTCGAGGTAAAAGTATGCCGAGCCCATCGAGAAGCCACCCCCTGGATCGCTGTTAGTCACTCTCGGATCTCATGCCGGATTTGCACATCATCTCCTACCATGCGCGTAAAATATGCAAACATCAGGTTTTGCTGTCGGATCCTTGATGATCCATAATCCTTTGAAACGCTTCTGCGGAATAATTAGCAGGTCCTTCTGACGCGTTCACCTCCGATAAAGTCGAGAACTCTCTTACATGATTATGCTCATGCCAATATATGGGACATCTTAAATAGCCATGCCGCAACATTCTAAACTTTAGGAATGGCAGAGCCACCGGCTTGGAAAAGAACACCCTCCCAATCTCAGGAGGTATGTTTGCAAACGCATAGCGAACACACCGGATGACGAGGTCTTCAAATGGGGATGCCTTCTGTACGAATGGAGATTGCTGCTCATATCCGACAAAGTAGCGTTCGCGGATCAGCTCAAAAGGTAATTGAAATACTACTGTTGCATTAGTATTTTTCACATATCCTTCAATTCCGGACTTACATAAAAAGGGCAAGCATTGTAAACCCACTAATACGGTTTCGAGCAACCCGGCGTGTATGATCAGCTGCGGTGCCAGAAATACGCAGAAAACAATGCAATCCAAGTACGAAACGGAACCCAGAATCATCGTATCTGGAAAAAGCAAAAACCCACGAGCCTACCCATTAGTATTTATATGTTCAATCTCTCCGGTGAGGCGATAGGGGATTGGAAAGCTGCTTCACAACCATTCCTAATGAGATCAATGCGATAAACAATCCAATGCGATAAAAGCCACGTACGTACCTATCCCCTAAGTAATTAATGAATGATAGTCTGTATTAGTCGCATGTTTTTACATAGTAGTTGCGCGCTAGGTCTGCGAACTCAGCTGCTTTATGATTACCTAGATACCAGCCGATGACTGATGACGTCGTCGAAGATTGTGGGCTCATGTAAGACCAAGCCACATTTACCTCACTCCTCTCACATGCCTCGGATTGTGAAAAGGGGTAATTTGCCATCACGACTCCTCGCTAGGGGCGGCAAATGTAGCAATGTGTTATCTTACTTACATAGCGGTTAAATGTAGGAATGCCATAAAAACGGATCTATGTTTCAAATCGAATAGCTTAGCAAGACTCATGTAAAATAGGAAATATATAGGTTAGACGTTTACAACTTAAGTTAAAGGTCTATGAAACTTGTCATCACTCATCACCTAAAAGAAGCATGCTTTAAAATATAGCATATGACAGCCCTAACGATGGATTATTAGAGATATATTTGCTTGTCTTGTATAAGTAGGTAGCTACTACATGGATCCGAGTTCGATCTTATATGAATCACATTGGTTCGCTGCAAATACCAGTATCTAAGAACCCAAAGTGAAGATGGCGCTTGTTATATTCAGTCTTGGTCTTAAGCTAAGACCATATAGCTATATCTAATTCTTAGATCAGACGTCTAGCACTACATATAATAGAACCCCTCATAGCCTCCTTACTTACACGGGAACATACAGCACGCCTCCTGTAACAATGTTATTCAGCAGACCCCTAAAGCTACCTCTTTGCTGAAATCCTAAAGTGCATATCTACTATCGCCCTAGGAGGTCGTTGTAGTTCTCTGGAAACGTTATTTCAGAGTATTTTATGGCATAAAGCCCTAGGTTAACTAGTATAATAGTTAAGATGTTTTAAGGGGATGTTGTTCTATTCAGAATTCGAAGTTCGAAGTCTTATTCTACATCGATCGTGCACGTCCGAAGAACTAACATTACCTCAGGGGATGGGGTGTACTGCAGTCTTCGTCATCCCTTGCTCAGGTATATCATCACATCGTCAGAATTCTAAGCCGGTCTAGTTATGCGCAACCTCCAAGATCCTCTTCTCCATATTCTCAAACGCACCCAGCACCCTCCCATAGCTCGTAAACGCCGCGTCGCGGAACCCGTCATCTACTTTCTGGATAGCATCCTCCTCTCGCCACCGCTTCCCAATCAAATCGTCGAAGCTCTCGTTCTCGTCGCGCCGCTCGAGTGCCCATAGCGCTTTATACGCGCCGCCGAGCGCGCATGCGTTGCCGCCTACGTCGAGCCGGTATACGCCGTCTGCACCACCTAGCACGTCGCCGAATACGCGCGCGATTGCAGGGTTTAGCGATCCGCCGCCGACTAGGTAGATGCGGCGCGGTTGGGCTGGGAGTTGTGGGCGGTCGTCAGGTTTCGATACCAGGTTCTGCGAGCGCAGGCGCATTGATAGAGCTTGGGACTCGACGATTATGCGGGCGTCTGTCTCCGCGCCCCAGTCTGATGTCTCCTGTAGGTCCGAGCCGTCTGTACTGTTGCAAGCGTACCGCCAGGTACCCGCCTTGACATTCGGCACGATTTCCGGCAGCGGGAAATACAGGCCCAGCTTCGCCTTGTCGCCTTCCTTCTTGACGTCTAGCGGCGGTGTCTCTAACACCTGCTTGTTGAAATTCTCCCAGGGGTCTGATCCCGACGGCTTAGGAAGATTGTCGCGGACCTTCTCGCGAGCCAAGCCACCGTTCTTATAGCACAACATGAACATGAAGTGCCCCTTTGTGGTGGGGTGGTTCATGAAGTGATACGAAGGGTCGGGCTTATAGTTAGGTGTATTCATGAGGAACGTGCTGGACGTGCCTAGCGAGACGATCGCATCATGTGGTCGCAGAGGTAACGATAAGATCGTCGCGGGATTGTCACCTGTAAATGGCGCGATTTGGCAGTCGGGGCTAAATCCGTATCGTTTTACGAAGTACGAGGAAATGCCGCCCAGGCTGCCACCGCCGTCTAGTGGTACATCGCCAAGCTTCTTTCGCAGCTCGGGCACACCCTCCTTAGTTGCCGTCAACTCTAGGAGTGACTCGTTCCATTTTTCGTCAGCGATATCCCATAGATTCATACCGGTAACGTCGCTTATGTCTATCGGCGCAACGGCTCCTAGAAATAGGGAGGCTAAGAATGAAGAGGCGAGCGAGATGCGAGCAGTTTTGCTGTAGACCTCAGGGCGTCGCCTTCGCATTCTTAGAATTTGCGTACCTGTAAACCGCTAATATATATTAGCTATGCTGTTGTTTCGGTGAGGTTATGAGGCCACTTACATGATGAGCAGCGCTCCCTGTGGCATCGGCCAGCTTTTGCTTAGAGCCCAAGTGAACATCGAAGTGGTCACATTCGGCCTGGGTGCTGTGATCTTGCCAGTTCGGCGCGAACTCGTAAGCGAAGGCATTGGATAGCTGGTCGAGTAAGGATTTCTCGCTATCAAGTGTCTTTAAGGTAGACTCAGCATGTTCGCTCCAGTAGACGCTTGAATGCTGCTGACCTGAACCGCTAATTCCTTTAATATGCTCGACAGGGCAACCCTTCTTCTTCAGCCGGGTAAGGACGAGGTCTACGGCCTCAACCCACATAGCCACGGGTGCATATACTTCACCCTCATCCTCGTTTGTTTGAACGCCCTTCTTGATCTTATACTTGGCAGCAAAATCGGCATCAAAGTCGGCTTTCGCTTCGGAGATAACTTTGAGATCCGAAGCAATTACAATTGCTGTTGCCAGTTAGCAAAAAATAATAATAATAAAAGAAAACAAAAGGGGGTTTTTCTGCATATAAAAAACCCAATGCATAAGGTAGTTAACAATTGCATGAAACTCACTCACCTTTTAATTGCTGGGTTGAAAGATCAAACCCGAGGTATAATGGCCCCGCGCTCATATTGCTTTGCTAATTAAATCAACGCAAGCGTATATCAGAATTAGAAACGGTATGGATTCATAAAGTCTAGAATATAAGCATGGGAATAACACTCCAAGATAAGGAAAGGAATCCTGGAAGTGTCGAACTCTAATAAAGTCCCTCGAAATTATTTACTAAGCCCATGAAGAGCTGTTGATGCATGATTTGCGCATCGTATGTTTAATACTATGACACTAATACCCAGATGCCCCAGATCTCGGTATCGCGGGGCAATGCCGTCCCTTATCAATTTAGGCTAAAACGTCATTAGCTCCAATGTTGGAAGCTGAGAGCCGCTCTAGAAGACCCGAGGGGGTGTATTACATGCATTGCATGTACCTAAGTAACTTGTTACTGTACATTAGGTAGACATTCGTAGGTTAGGTACTTTTAGAGCCACGACCTTGGCGCCGAGGTTATGATATGTGCAAACGTCTTCGAACTCGCATATGCTTTATTTCTATGTTGCTATTGTTAATGCTATGATATCTGCTATACGTAGTAAGATAAGGGTGCAGCCAGCTTAAGGCCTTATCTCTTCGAAGCTTCGCAGACAATCCCCTTTCTGCTTTTGCTATGTTCATCAAAATGCTATTGTTAGCAACATCGACTGCTAAATCTTTCCAAATACCGTACGTCCGGTGATGCAGGTCGAAGATATAGTACACTTAGGCTCTGCTAAGAGAGCCTCACCTTTTATTTCCGAGTGGTTTTGGTATCATCGAATGCCGACCGTCCGAGGTGTCTAGAATGTAACCAACGCCTTAACGCCAAAAGTGATTATATTCTTCTCATATAGGTTTACTTCGACTTATGGTCTCCGTTCCCATTGTGGCTGTGATTGTGACTGTGGTCGTCCTCGGGCTCCGGGCTTGATCGAGGGCTTACATCGCCAGGGATGAATTCGTCAAACTTGGGGGTAACGGTATCTTTAGGTAGGAAACGGACGCGTACCCTACGGACACCTCGCACCTTGCTGCCGACCTGAGTTCTGATTTGGTCTTCGGTGTCGCCAACAGCTTCTACCGTCCAGCTTCCCGGCACGGCTACCTCCAAATCCACCAGGTAATTCTGACCAGACTTGACACCTGTGACGCCGCGAAGCTCTATCTCATGCCCCTCGGGAATATCTGAGAAAGCTCTCTGAACCTGTTTTCGGACCGAAGCTTTGACTTCATCATCAATAGTCTTATCGGCCAATTCGAGAAAAGCTGCCATAGTGTTCTCAACTCCAGCTTTCACCACCATCAAGGATATGAGGAGACCCCCGACAGGGTCTAACCATGCTGCATTTTCTACCAAGTTCGCGCCTAAAACCACTGCCAACGTAACAATACCAGTGAGACTATCGACTCGGTGGTGGATGGCATTCGAGGCGAGGACCGATGACTTTCGTTCGCGAGCAACTTTCATAGCTATGAAGGACGATGGGTTAGCACCTACATTTACCACAGAGTTTCGGTAAATTCGTTGGAAGACTTACTTGCATGATACAACCACTCCTTAATGGCAACCGTGCCCGCAGCTAACCATGCAGCATGCAAACTGGGTACTACATCGCCACCATGCTCATGGCCATGGCTGTGAGTGTGTGCATGTGCGTGTGATATCAACTCTGCTGCAGAGGCCGCATCGAGGAAAAAATGACCATAGAGCGTTAAGAGACTGCCGTATCCCATATAAAGACCTCCGAAAAGAAGCATGCTCGATACACCCAAGGAACCTAAACTTTCGACCTTTCCAAACCCGGTAGGATATTTGTCGGTGGGGGGTTTCAAACTCCAAGATATAGTAGCCAAAGTCAGAATATCAGATGCGAGATCTGTTAAGCTATGGATTGCATCGGCAACCATTGCTTTGGAATTAAATAAGTAACCGCCAGCTCCTTTTGCAATTGCCATACCAAGATTCGAGTATAGGCCAATCCGGGTAATACGAACGCCGGCATCATTTTTATTCTGCGAGGTAAGGTAAACATTATCATGGTGATGATGTCCATGACCATGCTTGTGTTCACTATGGCTACGCGTCTGAGAGAGTGTGGCCATGATGGGAAAAAGACGCGTGTATTGGCGATGAATAAATGGTGAAGAATGAGTGATAGAAAAAGATTGTGCTGAAGAAGAAGAAGAAGAAGAAGAATAACAACAAGTTTGAAAGACTCGACGTGGTTGTGCCCGGTGTGGTTTATGTGTCCAATTAATGTGATAAAAAGGCTGTTGCTGACGGATAAAACTTGGGCTTAATCCGGTAGTCAATGTTGCAAGCTCAGGCCCGGCTGCGACAGCCTGGCGCAAGCTCAGGCCGCCTAGGCACGGCCAACCTAGTTGGCTTTGGGGAAACATCTTAAGAGGGAAAGAGGTACGCCAACCACGTAATACTATGTAGTGTGTAATGGAGCAGGTACAAGGCTTAGATCTAACGAGCTGACGAGTGACGCGCGTTAACGCCTGGGGCTGGCAAGTGAAAAGATTATGTATATCTAAATAAAACATGAACCAAAGTTGTACTATGTAGGTAGTATGTAGAAATGCTTGCGATGCGTGCGTGTTCCTTGAACTGCGACGACATCGGATGGGTCGGCGTGGGAGACCGATACCAATTGGAGACCAATGAGAATCCATCTGATTCGATCTTTTTTAGCTGGATTGAAAAGAGAGACGAAACAAAAAGACCCTAGACTAGAGCTACCTAATGTACCTACGTCAGCTACTGCCGCAGCGTGGGATCAGGGAACTGGACAAGCCCCTAGCCGACCCCACGCTTTCAGGGGTCTTTGAACCAAAAAACCACCGTTATAGCGGTATAGGGGTATCACGCTCGCACTCGCACTCGCTATATCTATATGTAGGTTAGGTACCTAGGTAGGTAGGTACACATAAGAAGTTCTCTAATAGCCAGATATACATATAGCGTAACGAAACGTCTAATAAAAAGATGGTAAATGCAGCTTACTTACGGGTCGACCCGCCGTTACCTCATAGCCAAACTTTACATTTGTAGCCGCTTACCTCATCTTTCTTCACTAAGGTTCTCTCATGGCTCAACTTAGGTAAGATAGGTAACCTACCTACCTAATAAGTAATGACTTCACTTCACCCAATATTACCTACCATCAAACCTTTTTGATAGAATGAAGATTCACATGTCCTCTTTATACTTCTTTATATGACCAGGTATAAACTATAATTAATTATCAATTATATTCTTCAATATAATTAATCTCTCCAAATGCGCAAACCATATATGAGAATTCCGTATACGGATGTCTTAGCATCTCCCACCGTCATCCCCCAAACCGCGAATACCATCTCAGGAGCTATTGCGGCTCTGCAGGAATTCTTTGGAGCAGCATCGGCAAGAGGCTCTCCATCCACGGTGGTCCTTACAGGGGCTGGTATATCTGTAGCTAGCGGACTCGCAGACTACCGAGGGCCCAATGGTACATATCGAGTAAACAAGACATATCGGCCCATCTATTACGGCGAGTTTCTCCAGAACCACGAAGCTAGGAAACGGTACTGGGCTAGGAGCTTTTTCGGCTGGACCACTCTACTGAAAGGAAAACCCAATGCTGGTCACTATGCGGTGAAACACTTAGGCGACTTGGGACTAGTTGGGAGTGTGATTACGCAAAATGTGGATTCCTTTCATCCAAAAGCTCATCCTCAACTCTCCACGATCGAGCTACATGGTTATCTAAGATCATGCGTATGTACGTCATGCCATGAAGAACTGCCGCGAGACACATTTCAGCATGAGCTAGCTAGGTTAAACCCTGCCTGGGCAGCGTTCCTACAAGAGATCCTAGCTTCCGGTGCTTTAGATACAGAGAATCCGGATGAAAGACGGGCGAGGGGTTTGAGGACGAATCCTGACGGTGATGTTGACCTCCCAGATGCGCCATACACGACATTCCGCTACCCAGCTTGCCCGAGATGTCTTACATCTCCGCCTGCTATTGCAGATGGGACTTGTGCGAAGGTCGAGGTTGATACGGATGGTGCATGGAAACCGACTAGCACGGCTGGGATTTTAAAACCAGCAGTCACTATGTTCGGAGAGAATATCCGCGTGCCCGTCAGGGCTGCAGCAGAGCAAGTCATTGAAAATGCTGGAAGCTTGTTGGTCTTAGGCACATCCCTGGCGACTTATTCTGCGTGGCGATTGGCTAAGAGGGCTAAGGATCGAGGCATCCCCATTGCGATCATCAACCTTGGGGGCGTCAGGGGGGAAGAAACATTCTTTGCTAACCTCGATCCGTCTCAAAAGGGAAACCAAGGAGCAAGAATAGAGTTGTCCACTGACGAGCTGTTACCTGCTCTTGTAGAGCAATTAAGACAGTCCTCTAGTATAAAGATTGCTGCAGAGGGCCATGATCATAGCCCTAAACAACACAACGCCTCAGTATTCAAAGACATGATGTCGTAATAGCATAACAGTCGTTTTGTATATATGCAACCTGCAATATAATTTATGAGTTAGAAAAAATTCGAGTAGCTTCCAGTTTTCGTCTTGTGATGCTCCTTAATTTCCGTAGAGGTTGGACCACTCGACTCATCCTTTACGGAATCTGCCACGATCTGTTTTGTGTTTTCGGGCTTCTTCGTATTCTTGAGGATATCTTCGCGTTCGATCTCTCTGAGTACTTCCTCCCACTCTTTCTCTTTCTCGACATCACCAGCCCCTAAGGCTTTCTGGACGTCGATTTTTTCGCCTCTTTGTAGTTTCTCTACAACCTCACGTAGCAACCCGATCCGAACCTCGGACCGCCTCATAAACGTGTCAAAGTCCTTCTTCAAGACGATCATCTGGATAGCCATGGACCCAATAAAGAGGAAGATGACGATGTAGAATGTTGCTGGATTCCATTCTTTCGATTTAGGTTTCTTAGGCACGCCCCAGTTCACAGATTGTTTTGAGCGTCGGAATGGTTTTGGTATCATATTCTTCCAAAACGATGGCTGCGTAATCGACGGGACCGTGCTAGCATGACGGACGAGGTGGGGTTGATTGAGGAATATTATTTTGGTAGCTGTTGGCCGGAGGTATGCCGTGGCATGCGCAGCTTTGCGCCATATTAATTTATCCATGTTAGAGAGACGTATCGTGATGCGTGAGGAAAAAAAGAAAAAGGAAAAAAAAGTACTGGTGTTGAAGTAAAATTGCTGAAATATGAAATATGAAATATGAAGTACTCAGTAGTATTATCTAAGATTAGGTACATTTTCGATGTATCTGCAGCCCCAAATCTAAATGCACAGACCCTTTAAGCGGATATCGGTACTCATCGCTTCGGTTGCCCGGCCAACATGTTTAGATTTGTCTTTAGTCTAAGTTTAGCTAAACAGCATCCACTCCAACATGGATTCAAACATGGATTCACGCAATAAACTCCCACCTTCCATGCATTTGCTGTGAATTACACATATCATCCAAGTCCATAAACTCGGGCTTACAACATTAAAGAATCTTATACACATTTCGCATTTCCTCCAAGTCTCGGTGTTGCCACCAGAATTTATTTGCTCCTTTCTTAACTGGCATGAGATATTGTTCTGCGTGCTTTGGCTAATTGCTTTCTTAAGTCCTTTATTCTTTTCTCCTAATGACGATATGAGTAAAAGTTGGCAAATATAGCAATTCGCCCCTCATGGAATCCATACAAGCCCGTGCCGACTCTGTGCGAAATGCTGTCACATCGGTTTCGACATGCACTGCTACAATCTCAGCTACCGTCAAAGAACTTCTTCAAGATAACGACGCGAACAACGAAGTCTCAAAGCCAGTCTCGAAAGCGCGATCGACCAAATTAACGAGAGCGCCAAGTAGAACAAATACTATATCAGGAGGGCCGCGTGCTCAAGGCAATGGAGCATGTTTATCAGCTAAAGAAAAGGCCGTCCTGGCTACTCAGATCGTTACCGCCAGCCTCAAAGCTTTGGGAGAGGCAGCGAAATCGCCACCTAATTCAAGTCCAGATGCGCGCGAATCTACCAAGAGCGATCCTACCAAAAGCGGAACCCGAAATGGTCTTCGGAGATCGATTTCAACCCCCATGCAGCCATTATCATCCAGGTCTTTGAATAGAGTTGCGACATCGCCTGCCGCTTCGAAGGCATCTCGATCACCCTTACCACCTACCTCTTCAATGGGATGTTTATCTTTAATAGAATGTGCACGCGTGGCTTTCTCAGCATTGGCGACTTTAGAGTCGTCAAAGGCTGTCCATCTTCCCGAACTGCAACTGGAGGCAGGAATGTCATCATTTATCAGCAAACTCATCGGGCTGAATCAATTTGATATAGCATTAAGAGAGCTTAGGGTATTAAAGCGACGCTTAGGACGTATGAATAGCGAGGAAGTTAAGAACGCAGCGGCCCGCTCGAAACCGGAACCCAATGTAACATCAAAAGCACTCGCCGAGTTACTGGATTTTACTATGGTCGTTGCGTCTGGCCCATTACTTGGTTTAGTTATCACTACTCAACTTCAGGCTCTTCGCATTGTACATGGCCTCAAAAAGTCTTCACATCTTGAGGGCATCTTACCTCTACTACGCGAGACTTGTCCTTCTTCGCCGATAAAACTGCTCCTATCCTCTCTTAAGGATGCCAACCCAGACCAGACCAAATGCGCTAGACAGCTGGAGAATCTATCTCAAACTCTCCTTTCTTTAACGCCAAGCGTCGCAGCCAAGGATGATGACTTTGCAGTGGAGCCGAAGCTGTCCCCAAGTCCCGAGGTGGCATTAGAGGTACAAGCTCTCGGGTTGGTTACGCGTCTGCAGTCATGGAGTGTATCTGGACATAGGGGGGATGTTGATAAGGATATAATATCGCCTCTCTCCAAATGCCTATCTGCTTTTGTTAGAAGAGCATCCCCTAGCCGCTTTTCGATGGCGGTTACTGCTTTCTCCCAAGTCTGGAAACGTGTCGAAAAGTTAGGACTGAGGCCGACAGAATCATCTCGGTCTCCCTCAGCTACAATATACCAAGTACTCGCCACAGCGTCCCAGGAATCTGGTAATACCAACGAGGCGAAGAAGTGGTTAACAAAGGTCAAATCTCTAACCAACCCAGCCGAAGATTCTGCTGCAAGATGTTGTGCTGTCACCGCTAGACTGTTGGCGCTCTCTCTCAAGCAGTCCTCTCAGGTTGACGAGAATGTACTGATGGAAGTCTTGGACGGATTACGAGGATCTCTTGGCGGTACAAGTGCAGAAATGGACGACCTTTTAGCCAGCGTGTGTCTCCTGCGGAAATCTGTGATGAACATGATCATGGAAAGGAAAGATAACTCTACTACAATTCCGCAGAATATTAGTGAACATCTGGATACATTCATTTTCCAACTACCTCGATTTGCCCTCAGATGGCTAGGCAAGCCACCAAGTTCGGCCAACGTCGCGAAGGACTTGATTCGGTTCGACCAACGTCGAGGGTTATTATCAACATATTTACCTCACATCCTCGACTCAGCTCTGATGCTTTCAAAATTGCTGTTAGACAGCGGTCGACTCGCCTGGGATGTTTTGGATTCTACTCTCCAGGACAGTTTGGCCCTTCTAGAAAATATTGAAGATTTAGCTCGATTAGAAACTAAGAGCAATCCATCTCCCTCATATCATATAAAAATATCTCATTTATACTACCAACAACACCTTGCTTTACGAAAATCGATTACGAAGACGACAGAAATTACATCTCTTAAAGCGCTTCGAAAGTCTATCGATAGTGTGAAGAACCGGCCTGAAGCGGAGCAGACCCGAGCTCAACTATTAGTCAAATGGGAGAGATTTGCAGAGCTATGCAGAGCTTCAGGCAGATTAGACGATGCTACTGATGCGCTCCGTTCCATCAGAGATCATCTTGTTCGACAAGAAGTTGTGTCGAACATTACCGCCAGCCTCGCAACAGAACCTTGGTGGATAGCGTGGAAACAGAATTCTGATGTTGAATTACTTTCAAGGACGGTCTGCAACCTTGCTAAGCTTGACCGGAAACATAACGATTGGACTTGGTTGCTTGTTGGGTCGGATAAAGCTACTGCTCTTGAGCACGACCTCTACGCCATCGTTTGCAAAGATCAGAAGTTCCGTTACGAATCAGATTTATCAAGCCCTATGATAAAGACTTTATTAGAGTTTTACTCTGTTGAAAGACACCCGATCCGTAGGTTGAGAACCTTGCTGCAGCTTCTCACTATCCACATGGGTTCACAAGATGGGCTTGCTGATTTGCGGGCCGAGCTGGAAGGAGTTCTCAAGCCGATCAATGAAGAATCCCTAGCAGATGATTCTGGCCTGGTCCGCTACATTCCGCATCTACAAGCATCAGCAACGTGCATATTAGGGTTGATCGACTCAAACATAGATTCACCACAAATCAAAGAAGCCTTAGCTAGATGGAAGCACATCGTCTCCGAATGTCAATCAACTGAGCAGCTATTAGTTCACATCGATAATCCATCTCAACTACTCACAAACCTGCAGTCTCTTGTCGATTTCGCCAGAATCAAGGGTCTAGAAACCCTACAAACAGAGATCCTCGAACTCTCGATGAGCCTCTCTAAACTCTCGGGAGATTGTAATCTTGAAGCATCGATAAGTCAGGGCATTACACTCTGCCTGCAACATTTGAGTCATGGCTGGTCATCCAAGGCTGAGAAGTTTCTGGTGGACAATCAAGAAGTTATTTCTCGACCAGACGTCGCCAGAGAACTTATTGTGAGATTTCACTTGTCTGCTGCCGAGTATCACCTATCCTTAGGAGCTCTTGACAAGGCTGAACAGCATTTGAGTAATGCTCGAAATGCTGAGATGGGCCTGTCATCCGAGCTAGAACCGAGAAAAGGGAAGAGCTCTAATCGAAGAATTACAACAGCGTACGCGTATTTCCTATACTCAAACCTCGAGCTCGAGCGTGGCGACTGTTATCACGCACTTCGCTTCGCCAAAACTGCCGTCAGGAAATTGTTCCATGATTGGTCCAGACTAGATGAGATGAGGTCCGCCGCCCACGATATTTCCATAGAAGAGTCCTCACAATCAGATGCTTCAGATAAGGATACGAGCCTCAATAATTCCTATATGGAGCGTTCTGATCTACCCCGTGCGAGCGCTGGCCCAGAGTTTTGGGCACTGGCTTACCAGTTGTTTCGGTTTCTTCTACAATTATCTTCTACCTACTCACACGTTGGTATGTATCAGGAAACACTATATTATGCCGAGCAAGCACATAAAGTAGCGAAGAGCATGGAATCAGCTGTGTACATGTCTCAATCTCTTGCATGGTTGGCACGGGTATGGCTCATGGCCGGTAAGCTGGAGAAAGCAATAGAGCTGGCAGCTGAAATCAAGCCTATAACTCTAGGCTTAGAGCCCACCTATCAGAATGCGAAAGTGCTGTGTCGTCTGAGTTCGGTATATGGAGAAATTAACGATGAAGAGGCGCAAGAAGAAGTAATAAGCAGGGCAGAGTCCATGCTTAAGATCTTGAATAGCGCCCACGATGCGAATAACTCAGTTGTAGATGTATTGGAATCAGACACGGCTGGGTTAAGAATCGAAGAAAAGCCAGTTGTTAAAGCTGTAGTACGCCGCATTGCAGTAGCGAAAAGACCAAGAGCTCTAAGCAAGAGTATCTCGAAGAAGCCGGCACCGAAGAAGGCGATTCCCCTACCCGAAGCCCCGGTACAAGTTAAACCCGAAGAAACCCAACTGTCCTTCTTACGCGCCTCGATCCTCCAGATTCAGTCGACTCGTCTCCTCGATGCTAGTGATTGGGCGGCAGCGGTGACCACCCTCCGAACGGCATATGAGCTTTCCAAGTTGCCCACAGACGTGTCACAAGCCAGCTTCTTGATGGGTGTGGCCTTGATTGGGCAGAGTCTAGAACAGATAAGCCACGATGCTGTGTTTTCCGTCATTCAGGATTCAACTCTTTCATTCCCTTCAGTAGCGGGATCTTTTAAGGAAAGGATCGCATCTGATCGGCTATCCTTAACGAAACCAGTTGCTCCTCGCAAAGGTCGTGGGCCATCAAAGAATGCTCAAAACACGCGGTCTTTTGTCGAGAAACTACGCGAAGCACAAGGACACTTGCTAGCAGCGCATTCTATTGCAAGTCTTAACGGCGATGGCGACTTGGTTCATCGTATTGCCACTGTTCTACAAAATGTGGTCATCCTTTTG